GCGAGGCTGGGCAGGATGAGGAGGAGTGCGCTCCGGACCGGCCTGGGGCTTCCCGCGCTCCCAGCACGGCCCGGGCAGGTGAGACCGGGTCTGTCAGCCAGAATGGCCGGGGGTCAAACGAGGTGGGAGAGAATGGCTCTGAGTGCGCGCAGGGGTGGTGTGTGGGCAGGCTGGGACTGGAACATTAAGTGCTGAAAGAAGCCCTGTCAGCTTCTATAAGGGCCTTCAGTCAGAAAAGTTTACATGTAACAAGGGACATCCGGGATTCCTGCACCTTGAACAGCTGAGAGAAAATTAGGACTGGTTTAGACTGGGAATATAGCAATGCCCCTATGCTGACTGAAGCCCTTTTTTAGACGAGGCTACATTGACAGAACCCCTCCTGTCATCGATTTTTGTCTGCTCTGTAGTGCTACAGCACTGCAGCTCTGTTGCAGCTGCAGTTTAAGAGCAGACCTACCCTTTGTTTTATCCGTCTTTTTCCTTGGTTGTATTTGTGCCTGTAACAGTGCCCTGTTGTGGTCTCTTTGCTCCCATCCTCTCAGTCTCATCCTCTCTGGCCCTTTCTTTCATAGAGAAGGTGGGTCAGGTGATCCAGATTTTACCTGGTCCACTTTGTCTTTCTAATATGTGGAACCAACACAGCTACAGCAACATCTCTGCCATAGCTTCTCTGCTTTCCCTTCTCACCAGCAGTCACGTTCCCGTAGTTGTTCATGTGGGTTTTTCATATAGCAGTAGGGCAGAGAAAATGTTTTTTTAATCAAAAAATTTGGTGGTGAAACCCCCCAAATGGGCAAGCAGAATGAAGGGTCAGGTGCAGAATGGGAACCGCTTTGAACAACTTTTTAAGCATGCGTCAGTCTGTGTGATAGTCTCCTTTGAAAGCCCGACAACTGACTGTCTTCTGCTTTCATTTCAGATAATTCAACTAACCACAAATCTAGGAAAACTGTGTTGTCTGGGACTCAAGGCCCCTTGTGGGTGACAGCTGTTTTTGGTATGTGAGAATCTGAAAGTGCATCAGAACAGATCTTGGCTTCACTGAGTCGCATTCATGAAAACTGAACTTGCCTCCTAGGAGATAGGATGCAGTTTGTTCAGTAATGGCTGTCTTGGGACCTCCTCGGATCCCTCTTGCTGCTGCATGGTTTAAGCCTGCAGTGGTTTTCTCTAACCAATTTGCCTCAAGGGCTTAGATGGCAAAGGCCAAAGTTCTGTATTTTTCAGCTTTGGGAAAAGACAGTTTCCTTCTCCTGTTGAAAACAGTCCCACTGCGTAGGAGGTGCAATCCCCGCTTCTTGCTATTTTGTCTGTTAAATGATGGGGCAATGACATGGAGGCAAGAATCCCAGCAGCTCATTGCCCGTGTGTTCTTCGCTTTCTAGTGCTCCTGAGTGTACTGGTAGCTGCAGGCTGCACTGTTACCAGGAGGCAATTCAGAGCAAAGAACAGCTTCTTCACCTTTAGCTTTGAGAGAGCTTCCAAAGAGCATCTGGTGCTAGACAGGAGACCTTCTGCGTCATTTCCCTAATAGGTATGTCTCCCATTCGGCACGGGAACCAAATTCCTTTGTATAGGGAGGAAAAGGTGGCCCTCCCCCATTCTGAGCTCTCCTCCCTTTTGTACCCTTCTCCTCTCCATTAGCTCTCTGGTTGGGTAAAAATAATTCCCAGCTGCCTGTGCTGCAGTGAATTCCTTTCTCTGAGAGGGGCTGGAAAGGGGTCTCCTCCTACAACTCCTCCCCATAACTTCTCTGTGCTGGGAGGACTGCTGGCAGCTCTTTCAATGACTGGTTATTTGCAGTGGGAATTAAGTGCAGTTGTTGAACCTGGAAGAAGCTATTAGTCTCTAGATTGGGGTGGGCAAACTTTTTGGTCTGAGTCACAATTGGGTTCAGGAATTGTGTGGAGGGCTGTGTAGGGGAGATTGTGTCTCTGTAAAGAGACAGGCATGGCCCAGTCCCCTCCTCTATCTGAACCATGATTCCCTTCCCCCCCCCCCCCCCCCCCCCAACTCTTCCTTCCTCCCACTGTTGGTTTTCTCTGCTGCTCTTCTGCCATATGCTCTCTCTGCACCCCGCTCCCCTGCTGATGGTCCCCTGTGAACCCCTGCCCCTATCCAGTTCCCCTTGCTCCCTGCCCCCAGCACTCCTCAACCCTGTCCACCACCACCTCCCACTCACCTTCCCCTGACCACCTCCTATCCAACTCTCCCTGCTCCCTGAACACACCACCCAGAGCACTGGGGCTGGCAGCACTGCAGCTGTGTCCACTGGAGCACAGGTGCTGGGAGAGCTAAGGCTCCGGGGGAGGGGAGTGTTCAGAGGCTCATCTCCCTGGGCGGGAGTTCAAAGACTCTGGCAGGCTGGATGTGGCCGGCAGGCTGGATGTGGCCTACAGGCCATAGTTAAAGACTCTGGCAGGCTGCATGTGGCCGGCAGGCTGGATGTGGCCTACAGGCCATAGTTTGGACCCCTCTGCCCTAGTTGCTAAGAGATTGTGTAAAGCCCCCAAATTAGCAGGGTATGGGTTCCCCATGTGGTTTGCGAGTTGAAATGAAATGAAAACCTTTGACAGCGAATATGAAATAACCAGGTTCTTTGTTTTTCTTCATCTTTCAGGAAGCTGCATTGTTGTGAGATGAGACACAGCTTGGTCCTCCTCATCACACACCCTCCAAGTGCCGATCAAGCAGTTTCTGGGACTAGTTTTCTGGGTTTGATTGGGTGACAATCACAATGGAGTAATCAAGGACTCTTCCTTGGGCACAGGGAGCTTAGATTGTGGCAGTGGGGAGTCAGAAGTGATGGTCTCTGGTGCTCTAAAATCAATTCTACGGGAATGTGATGGAAACTTGAAATGTCACATTGGTTCACCCATTCCCATCCTCCCTCCCTCGGGGTTATTCTACAAGATGCCTCGTCCTGAAAGAAAGGTTCTAAAGCTATTCCAGTGAATAGTGCACATCTCTGCAGATGAATAGTGTATCATCTCTGCAGTACATCCGGGCAGCTCTCCCTTTCCCACATCTACCTAAGAGTTCATCGCAAACTACCTCTTCCTACCAGGCTGTATCTTACCTGTTAACATAATTATTTACTACTGTTCCAAGGCAGGCCATTCCATTCTACACACCTGGGGGGGTATAATATAACTTCAGTCCCTGATGATACTGCTCCTCCTCCTAACTCATTGGCTCGGACTTACCAAAAATTCTTAAAATGTAATTGATGCACAAGACCCATCAAGGAGCTGGAAAATTGAAGTCTCCTGTATGGTTGTCTTTGCATTGGGTCACAGGCTGTATAGCATAGGGCAGGCAGGAGAGGAGTGCCTTCAAATCCCAAGGTAGGAGGTATGCTCAGCTCTTTCCAGGATTGGGCTCAGAGTTTCCAATTTGATACTAAAATTCTGGATGTTGAATCCTCGGTGCAGTTATTTTAACACCTGGAGCTGGCTTACCTCTTTTGCTTTTAGCTGCGAGTAGCTTTGGTCTCAAAGGTCAGCTGTTAGCTCCATTTCAGATCTTGGTCTGTATAACATTTTGTCATGAACGCTTATTACATAA